AAGCAAAACAAGCTTGAGTGAGAAGCATATGTAGGGTGGTTTGCCTTGATCGACTTCAAGGTATATACAAAAATAAATTTTATTATTTTTTTAATTTAATACATATAAATATGTTATATTAATAAAGTTATTTGTTATTTTAATTTACAAAATTAATATTTTAAACTCAATATGAGTTATCGATGTGACACCCTCTGTGAACAATTTTTTTTTTCATTTTTCTCCTTTTTCTCTTTTTTCACTTTTTTTTTATTTTTGTTTATTTTTTTATTTTTATTAGATAAATTTTATGAAAAAAAAAAAAGCCAATTAAAGTATCCATTTGTCATTTTAGTTTTTTACCTTTTTTATTTTTTTAATTAGATAAATTTTAAAAATTCAATGAATTGAGTGGTAAAACTAAAAAATTTGACCTAAGACAACTCGTGGGCATTTTTCTAATTATATTTGAACTTTAGCTCATTACGTCTAAAAAAGTATAACAATGAATACATAATACATAAACCTTTCATGTCAATAAACAATAGTGTAAGAAAATCAAGAACTTTTAGTTGCAAGGTTAATGTAATTAGTACAAGAGTGTTATACAAATGAATTTTGGGTGTCAATATATCAAACAGTAATTGCATGATAATTTTGTTGTCTATATACAATGTAATAATTGAATCATAAATGTTTTGCAAATTTTTCATTGATTATTCTTATTTCATCTAAATTGTTATTTTGATAGTCACACAAAGTTATATTACTAACTAAACTAAATGAAAGTAGTTCACGTATGTAAAATGTTTTCAAAAAAGATTAAAATTTAAAAAAAAAATTTCCTATCAAGACTTAAATGCATAGCCAAAGAGATCTATGTTAATGTTATTAAAGCAATAGTTTGTTGTAGCTCTTATATTGAGTAAATCATCTTTATAGATATTGATAACATTATGGGTGATAACAGTTCCGATTGAATTATATTTGATTTATTTTTTTGGATAATGCATAACATTATAAATTTTTAAAATCCGATCTAAATCTAAATTGACCTTTTCTTGAAATTGATTCGATCCGAACTAAGTTCTACCAATTCAATTCATTGGTTTTTAAATTTTAAATTTTATATTATTTTAATATATATTTTAATATATTTAAACATATTTAGATATAAACAATTATTTTATTTTATAAAAAATTAAAATATACATAAAAGCTAATAAGAATAAAGAGTTTAGTTTGATTTTTTTTTAGGTTTTCACTTCTCAATCTGAAATTGATTCGAACCTAATATAAACATTTAATATTCGAACTTAATTTGAACCGAATAAAAAAATATTGATCCAATCCAAATCAAATATTATAGTTTCAAATCGGCTTTCAATTTTCTCAATTTTTTTCCTCACTCTTAGATAACATTTTAGGTGTTTGTCAAACATGTTTAAGATTACACACACAAAATCACATCCCCATTTTATGAATTTGCCCAAAATAAACTAACCTATATCCATTTTCATAGCTTATCAAGGAAAATTTTTTATCTATCAACATTCCCATAATTAATGTTGACTGTAAGGAATGATTGTAGCTATGATTTTTTTCAAGAAATTATTAAGAAAATAAATAAATTTAGACACCAATCTATACTTTAGCCAAATTATATTATTGTAAAATCTCAAATTTCATAGATTTTAGGTATGCAAAAAGAAAAGAAAAATCAAATATCAGTAAAAGAAAAAATTAAAAATTCCTATAAAGAGATGATAAGAAATAAAAAGGTATTGTCTATACTACCAAAAATAAAAGTAGAATAAAAAATTTATAACACAAAAAGAAAACGTTAAATATATAAAATTGAAAATAAGTCCAAAGAAACTAATAAAGCATACATATCAAGAAGAATTGAATAAGAAAAAACCAATATGCCCAAATATTCTTTGATGATTTAAATAGCAGAGAATATTGAAAAGGATAAAAATCTAAGCTTAAAATAGTTTGGGACAGAAATCTTAACAAATTAAGCATATAAACTGAAAAAAAAAAAATTTAAGCTGTGTCTCTACTTATGTCTCCAATAAAGAATTTTCTTTTAAAGAAAAAATCAGTATATATTGAGGAAAAAATCAAATTCATCATGAAAGAAAAAAGGAGCAAAAGATATAGTAACTTAAGATTCATAGAAAAAAACTATTCAAAAATAAAAATAAACCGAAGAAAATTTTTAAAAAAAATCATTTTTCCATTTTTCCTATATTTTTTTTGTTGGCCCTTTTTCTATTTTTCTTTATTTATTTCATCTTCTTTGTTAATCTCTTCTCTACTCTCTCTACCTCAACTCTAGCTTACTGTTGGAGCAGGCAGCCATTGATCTACCTTATTGATTGCTCTCTTCTTTTTCCCTCTTTACCTCACTTCTCTTTCCCACTCTCGTTCTGCTTTCCCTTCTATGTCTCCTTTCATTTTTTAAATCGTGAAGCTTTAGGAGCCTTAAACTTATAGCAACTTTGGAACATCCTGCTTTAGTTTTTTTACCTTTAAACAATTGTTTTGAAAAAACATCTTAAGCCTTAGAAAACAATTTTATCTTTGTTATCTATAGCACTATATTAAAAGAATCCCTAAAGGGGGTAAATGATTAACAATTGTCTAAAAGGATAACAAATGAGTATTCTTAATCCTCAAGGGAATTTAAAAAAAAAAAAAAAGGTTCTTGAAGGTATTTATGATTTTTTTGTGATAAATGTTGTGGGAGAGTTGACAATTGGTTTTTGTTTTAGGTTATACAAAGTAAGGTTGTTAATTTCATTTTGATACCAACTTTATCGATCAGTATATTCCAATTAAAGCAAAATACAAAATATTTACGGTGTTTTTTATATGAAACTTGGTATCAAATAATATCAATTATTTTCACTAGTTTCAACTAGTTTTGGTGAATTAACATGCTTCAGTCGGTATGTATATATGAAATATGTTTTGTAGTTTTAATAATTGTTTTTTTTTCTTTGATTATTTTAAACTTGATAAAAAACCACAAAACAAAATAAAACAACTTTCAAGTCATGTCTCTCCAATTTTTTTACTACAACTTTGTTTGTTTTTTTTTTAACACTTTGTTTTCCAAAATTAAAGGAGCCTATCTATTTCAAATCTTATCACAAGAGAGATGACATATTGACATCAAAGAACCCTACTTGAGTAGTAAGCTTCATCTTTCCTTGGCTAAAGTCCCTTTCAATTTCTTCCTTCAAGATGAATATATTATACTTGAAATACTTGAAACTCATTTTTTCATGTTGATCGGAGGTATGCATTTCCTTTATATTTTGATGATGGAAAAATTTGTATAGGTAATCTAAAGTTCTATAAGATTTTGTTTTTGTTTTATGATAAATTGGTGATATTATTTTTTATATTTGTAAACTTATTTATTTGATATTTGAAAGCATTGCATATTGATTTTGCATACTATTAAATATATTTATACTAAATCAAAAAACTAAAAATTTTATCAAAACAACTGATGCTGACATATACTATTTTTTGAAAAAAAAGCCAAAACATTGCCGGATACAATATTATCAAGGTTGTTACAAAGTCAATTATCAAAATGTCTTAAAAGGATTCATGCTTTTTAAGAGTATTTTGGTCTTTTCAATTTATTTGAGATTTTGTGTTTTTTAGAGGAGAAATAGGAAGGAAAGAAAAAATAAAAAGTCAAAACTTGAGAGTGGAAGAAAAAATAACAGAAAAACAAAACAAAGAGAACAATATTGAAAAAGAGGATAAACGAACAAAACAAGAAAAAAGATTTTGAAAGTAAAAAATTGAAAAACAAAAGGCAAGAAAAGTAAATTAAAAAAGTTTTAGTTTTTGGAACTTTTTAATTTTCTTATATTTTTGTGTTTTCCTTTAAAATATCTTCAAATAAAAATAATATAATTTAAAATATTTTTAAAATGATAAAATATGTGCATTTAGTATTTTTTTTTTTAATGAAAAAAATATTTTAAATTATTTTTAAAAATAAAGAAGAATGAGCTAGAAGAATATACTTATTAATAGAAAAAATTTAATGAAAATATGAATTTATTCTATAATTCAAATTTGATTTCTCATATTTTCTATTGACTTATTTATGTTTGATTTTAGTTGTTTCTTCCAACAAAATATAATTTTGAAAAAAAATTTAAAAAATATCAAATAAAAAATTATGAACAAATTTGGATATTTTTAAATTAAAAATGATATATGTTTTGAAAATTTTATAGATTTAGTTTTTTTCAATAAAAGAAGTTTTTAACCCATGTCTTTATTGTTTTCCTTTGTTTTCTTAGTTTTTTATTTTTTATTTTAAACTAGAATAAAAAGTTTTAGATTTTCTTTATAAAAATGAAGATAGGAAGAAAGGGAAAAAAGAAATTAAGAATAAAAATTATGAAATTATTTTTTTTATTTGTATCATATTTTTTCTTGGTTTGCGTTGAGAAGCTGGAAAAAGAAGTTTTAAACTTGTTATTTATAGAAAATTATCTTTTTTGCATTTAAAATTTTGATATTATGAATTTATTATAATTTGCATTACAATTTAATTTGTGAATACTACAAATATTTATTTGAATATGTGCATATCAGTTTTAAAAAATTATATGTTAAATAAAGTTTGTGACGGTAAGAGCTTTTAGTTTTAATTGTTAATTGAATAAAAAAGAATTTGAATCATTAAAAACTGTTATTAAATTAATGTGAAATAAACTATTGTAAATATATAAAATTTTAAATTTTAAATACTCGTTACAATCATAATAAATTATATCCATATATAATTATCATTGAATGATCAAAAAAATAAATGAACTAATAAATTACAATATAATTAGATAAATTTAACATAAAATTGAATTAAACTCATGCACGGAAATCGAATTCTAAAACTTTCTTCTTGCCATTACAACGAAGTCTCATTATAAATTTATATTGATATATTTTAATAAATTAATTTACATGTATCCAAATAAAATACAAATATTCATAAATAAAAAAAATATTCTACAACAAAGCTCGACACACATGCAGATTAATAAGTAATATATATATATATATATATATATATATATATGTGTGTATGCATGCGCCCGTGTCAACATAAAATTAAAAGCTACTTTCTATGATAGTTATTGAAATGGCAGAGCTGGCCAAGAAAAGTAGAAAATTGAAGAGTTGTACAAATAACAATTAAGATTTGCAAAAGACTTGGACGACCCAAAAAGATGTAACAACTGGCAACAACATTATCAATCGAAATCAGAAACGTCATAGCTCTACTTCACGATTCATTTACAGGAAATGATGATGTCCTTTCGATCATCTTGTCAAACATCAGACCTGTTACAAGGCCAACAGGAATGGCTACCAGACTGCTTGTATCTTTACAAAGGAGAGACAAAAAAGTTGAAAACAAGAAACCACGAAATAATCCTTCATATCCTGTACAGAATGTGGGAACCCCGTCCACACAAATTCAGAATATCCTCCAAACCCAGTCCAGGAGCACGCTACAAGAACACGTTCTCGGTCATGCTCACCAGCGTGCCTCATTTTTCCAGAAACCAAGAAGCTCCATAGAAAACTGAAGATATAACTACTATTGAATTTGAGTTGGTCCATGGGAGAATTGCAACCACTGCCATAATTTTGAATAGTCAGGTCCCTGGAGATGAAATTCCAAGCACCCAATGAGTTCAACAATAACCTTCAAGTATCGGAGATCTCAAGTAAAAAATACTGTCATAGTTAGCAAGAAATACTTGTATGAAGATGATTGAGTCGTTTAATTCACGCCAGATTGGCTTTTACAACATAATTCTAGGTAGATGCGTCAACTTCCTTCCCGTGATCTTCCTCATGAGTACCAATCTTCAACCGTCTTAACCATATGTCATAATCCATAGGATATGGCGTTCCACACAAACTGTCAACATAATCAGCAAATGCTTTCAATACCGTTGAGACATCACCCAATTTCTGTTGAATCAATCTCCTAGACCAAGAGGTCTCTCTCCACTGTAGTGCCCCTTCAACAGAATCAAGATCAGGCAAAGCACCTCCACATGCAAAATAAAGCATGTAAACCAGGCTCTCAGCATCCGATGCTAAGCACAACTTTCCCTCCTGTAGAGCGTAAGTAGATGAAAAATGAAGGTTCATTGCAGGGCGGTCCCTATCTTCCAAAATAGCATGTCCCCAACCAATTAGGACAAAATAAGGATGCCCTTCACCAGACCTCATACAAATCACATTTTCAGGCTGAATGTCCCCATGCCTAATGCCATCAGAAGAGGCAGTAGAAAGTGCAGATAAACAGTCATGACAACACCTGGTAGCCTCATCCACACCAAATTGACCTTCACTAACCATATTAGCAACCGTTTCACCAACCGGGCTGGTCACAAGAATAGGGGTGCCACACCAAGGGTGATCACAGTTTCCACCTGAACTGGGTCTCCGACACTCACCAGGATGAATAATCCTTCCAGATGCAATTAATTGCGGCAGATACTTGCTAGATAGGCCTTTCTGTTTCATAATAGTCAATACTTTGCTTTGCCTCTGAACTTGATACCACAAATTCATATCTTCCCATGCCGGTTCCAGCTGAGAAGGATGAGAACCCACATAGAGAAAGAGGGACTTTCCTGGGTCTTCAACTGGTGATGCAATGTAACAAGGAAGTTCACCATTACTCCTGACTTGGTTAATCTGATAACTTCTTTCCCAGTTTGAATCCTCCAACCATAATACAGATCCTACTTCCAGCTTTAGCAACTCGGACTCAATTTTGACAGATTCATCCAGAACTTCAACAATTTCGGGAGAGACACCATGCTGCTGGAGCCTAAATAAACCACTCCCATTCACTCTAGTATCCCCCAATTGCCTCTCCACTCTCCTTGTTTGGAGGCGAGAACCATGGTCAGCAGCTAAGTCTTCAATGGACTGTTTAGGCAGGCCAGCAAACTGCATAATACAGTAAAAAGTTGCAAAAGTTACCTGCAAAGCACCAATATCTCCCCAATTGGCATTTCCAAGCTTGTTCCAGATCCTATCAACTGGAGATACAGCAATTCTAGCATGCTTTTGTATCCACTCAGCAGCACACTCATAGACATTATTCACATCAAAGTCCATTTTATTTACATCTCCTTCAACTTTCACAACCCCGCCATATTGAGAATCAACAAGAAGAACAAAGACAGAATTTGAACCCAGAGGAAAATTCTGTCTACTTAACCTTCTTGATATGAGCATGCGCAAAGCATAAAAAAGAGCCTCACCTAGAACATGCAGAGAAGGATGTTGTTCGCTTTCCACAGCAAGGCTTCGGATATCAGGCCTCAAAAGAGCCAGTTCGAGAAGATTGTCCCACTTTCCATGAGGATGTCTTGGGTTCTTAAGCAATAAACCAGTAGCACATAAACTTCCAAGCTTCCCACTAGCTATTGCCTTCTCTGCCTGGTAAAATTTTAAATTTTCTTTGTAAAGACAGGCAACAGAGAAAGGCATGGGTTCATCCTGACTCCAAAATGCCTCCCACAAGCCCTTCACGGTTGCATGTAAAAAATCTTCAACAGCAAGATAAGCAGTTGCTTCAGCAGCATCAGATGTTGAAGCATAAACAGCATTTGGCATCCGAATAAGCTGTTGGAACGAAACCCCTTCCAAAGCATAGTCAAAATTTTGAAGCTCTATCAACTCAAAAGGTACATCGAAGGCAGGCGTCTTTGGTGCTGACTTCTCATATATTGACTGAAACCAGTCTTCAAGATTTGCAGTAAAAATTTCACAATCAATAAATCTGTAGAAAAATTCCTTGCCGTTACGAGATTTACTGGCAGACGATAAAGTGGACCTTTTTGTCCCAGACCCAACTGATTCCTGGTCTGGGGACCCACCTGTCAAACATCATGTGTATTTGACATAAGCTGAAAATTAAGACAAACTACAATAAAATGCACAAAAAAAGAAAAAAGTTCAAAACAGATAGAATAAGACTTATAAATACTTTTAGTACAAATGGAATAGGGAGTAGTTAAGCATTCAGAATCTTTTGATTTAATCCTTATTTAAAAAGCTATGAACTTCATAAGGAACTGAATTATAAATAGAGAAACTAAAGCATTTCATTCCGAGGTCAAGAAGATGACACATGACACAATTCCAGACATCAACCAATACCAAACAAGAAAGTAATTAATTGAAACAAATACCATGTCATAGGTTATCCATTTGATGAAGCCATAATAAGGATAATAAGATTTTACCATTCCTCACAACATTTACATCCCAGCTATTTGTTTAACATTTAACATGCATTTATAAATGGTAAACCCACATTGGTAGATATAATCCTTGAATTTGCTGACAACATTTTTATCCCAGCGATTTGTTTAACATTTAACATGTATTTATGAACCCACATTGGTAGATATAATCCTTGAATTTGTCCAAAACATTATTGCCACATCAGGAGGAATAAAAAGATGTAAGAAAAGTGTTGGGACAAGTAGCACCAATCCCCTAATAATTTCAAAAGAAACACAAATTATCTGACATTTAAATTGTCAAAATACATAATTCATGCCTTGAATCCCATTATCTCAATCATCAAAAGCTACTTAAAACTATTAAAAAGAAGATCTATTTAAATGAGCTTCACAAACTTAAAATGAAGCTCACGTAAACCAGACAAAGTCCATATTGTAAATAAAATAAACTAAGCCCAAACAGCATAGATCATTTCTTCGAAATGATCATCTAAAATTAGTTCTCCTCCCAGACAATGGTCCTCGCTACTCCAATAAGTTAATGAATTTATAAAGAAAGGAGAAATTTTAAAAAGCTGCTTTATATAGAAAGGTAAGGAAAAAAAAAAAGGAAAAAGAAAAAGCAACTCTTATGCTATCAAAGTTTCAATTTCTGCCTGTTAAAATTTTAAAAAGCTGCTTTATTACTGTCTTAATAATCATTTTTATTTCACTTAAAGAATATCACATTTTTCTACTAAACACAGAGCTTCATCCAAGATACACATGCATGATAACACAGTATTAATGTGCATTTTGGATGCTTGTGACTGCCATCATCAGCCTTGACAATTCTATTCATTTAATTCATTTGCATATTAATTTATTCTCTCATTTTTTAATGTATGAAATCACACTTATAAGAAAAGGAGCAAGACGCTGCACAGGCTTCTTATAAAAGACTTAAGCCATGGCAACAAACCCTTACAACATCATAAAAAAAATCCATTTCAAGTTTATTGATTAACAGAATCTTCATAAAGGATAAATTATATGACATGCAGCATTGTTAAGGCCCTGCAACTTAGTGCCAGAACAAAAGCACCACAGATCCTGTCAGGCGAGGAGGATTTGATCAAGTGCGTGCCTGGTGCATCTAGGCACACTTTTTTGTAAGGTGGTAGGCACATAAAAGCCCACCTGATTGAAGTTCTCCTTAATATCTTTTATTTTTACTTTTGTCATTAACTGTACCTTCAATAGTAAAAAAAGGGGACACTATCAAACTCTCTACTTCTCAATACTTGAATATTCACCAACATGGGACCGTAAGGAAATCATATATATAGGCAAACAAAAAAGAAAAAGAAACTTTTGCATGTTTTGTAGAACAAAATAGTCCACTCTTTAGTTATTATTATTATTATTATTAAACACACATATACAAAAACACATTTATATGCATATTGCGTATTCACTTTGGTGAGTGCTTTTTATGCGCCTCAGGCAATATAAGGTTATAGCACCTAGAGTGCACCTTGCGCCCTTGGCAACACTGAATTGACAAGAATATGACTATCCAAGAAAGTATGATTACCAAACAATGATTATGCTACTCATAGTGATTTTACTACTCGACTATAGAAAATACCAGAAGGTATCCTGATGGAGGATGGTCATATGCTAGTTGAGGAATTAAGTTATCTAGGCCACTTTATTAATTAGTATTTTACTTATTTTCCAAGTATCAGGGCTTAAGTGTTATATTTTGTATTTTGTATCACTTCTAGGGTTTAGGGTTTAGTTATAAATACCAATGTTATTTTAGTTTCGCACAGGCTTGGTTATGAGGTATTTGAGATATTGATATTTTTCGGATATTTGAGTTTTTGGTTATTGATATTAGACTTTTTGGTTGGGAATTCAGATTATCTCGAGTGTTTTGATTTTAGAATACTTGTTATAGATCATATCCTCTCAAGCTGATCATTTTAAGTAAAATCAATGTAATGGCTTCGGACATTCATAGAATCCAGAGCAATGGTCTTCAGCAAAAGGAACATGAACGGTAAAAGTTTTGTAATGCAGGAACAAAAAGATGCAAAAAAAAAACAAAAAGTGAATATTGAGATTATGCTTTTTTTTTTTACTATACTTGCAAGACATTCTTAGATATATAGATGCCTCATAGTAATGTATGCCAAAGCCAGTGAAAGCTAAGCAAGGTATCTCATTTTCCCAACAGAAAACAGTACACTCAAACACTAATATAGTGACATAATGAGGTAAAATTTTATTACCATGATCTCTAAGAAAGGCGAAACAGGACAAACCACTAGGATATCATCTATTTGCACAAAGCAACAATTACGCAGACAAAAGTGAGCTTCAGCCAAAAGCTGTTGGACTAAGGAAAGCAGACATAATGGGAAGTCATTGTCCTAAAAAATCCATAACAAGGCACAGACAAAAACTGCAGCAAAATCACCTTGGCAAAGAAAGAGATGCCATCGATGCCATCCTGTTGGTGCAAATGTCACAGAGCAACTGTAGACTGACCATGAACATCTAGTAAAACTTGTCTTAAGAAGACCAAACCATTTGTGCCAACAATCAATTAATATGCAAAAGATTAAACTAGCTATCAAAGCATACAACTCAATTTTTGCAGTCACAATTTCTTATCATGGATTTATCTTACCTTTGCCAATTTTTTTGTTTTGAAGGGGGAAAAGAGAGAAAAAGGAAAGGGACAAATAGCGCAAGATCAGCGTTGAGCCAAGCTGAATTGCATAAAAACTAATATGAACAGAAACTGTTATTCACCTAAAACTACGATTAAAAATATTTTAACAAAAAAAAAAAAGAACAAAGAAATGCAAAATTCAACATAATTCTTATAATAAGAAAGCAGTCTATATTAACGGAAATGGATTAAAGCATATCCATAAATAATTAGTTGATGATGAGAAGAGTAGAAAGAACAAAAAAAAAAAAAAAAATCAAAGACGTGGTGGAAAGTAAACAGAGAGTCAAAGCTATACTCGAGAGAGAGAATTTAGGGTTTAAATTTAAAAGCAAAAAGAGAAAAGAGAAAATATACCTTCCATTACCAGACAGACAACGGCTTCCTTCAGATCTCTCTCCTCCCCTAGTTTCAATGTCCTCCTTTCTTCTCAGTCGAATGGGATGACCCTTGTGTTTCTTTCTGTTCTTTTTCCCTTTGGCCACAACCATTTCTTTTTATTATTTCAATATCAGTAAAATCACGTCAAACGTGAGGAAATAAATAGTCCCTTCGTTCTAAAATTATTTCCTTTTCTTTCTTCTTTTAACTCTTATTTTCTCCATGTTTCTATTAATTTTTAATTTTTAAGATTAAAGATTATAATTTTATCAATATTATAAAAATTAAAATAAAATATTAAAAATACTCAGAACTTTTTTTTATATTTTCGTCCCCAATCAGAAATGAATACTCAATTTAAAATGCAAAAAGTAATATATAAAAAAATGTTTAATCCAATTTGATATAGCAAGTTGATGAATAAAAAGTCATGCCAAACCAATTGATAAATTTACATAAAAATTTATTTTTAAATTGATAACAACAAATGTAAAATTATATGTGTTTTCATTTTTTTATAACATGCATTAATTTTTTTTTTTACATACATAGAAAGAAACCATCCAGTACTCTTTTTTTTAAAAAAAAATCAAATTACCAATTTTTATCCTTTCTACCCACATAATGGACATGCAAAAATCAAATACTAGTAAATATAATTAATATTAATAATCAAAATACTTCTAGACAAAAAGATAATAAGAAATAATCTAAAATTGATATAGTAGATTTGGACACTGTTGGTATAGAGTTTAGACTTTAGATACAAACTTGGTAATCTTGACCTTAATGAAATAATCTAATATTATTAGATACAATTAATAGAAAACAAAATAATAACTTTTTTTCATTGTTTTTTTTTATAATTTTTTGGAGAACAAGAAAGAATTGGAGAAAATGATTTGGCCTTTTTTTTTCTTTGAAAACTATTTTTCTAGTTTTAAAAAAAAGTACTTCGTTTCCTTTTTGTTTGTTTTTTTTTTTACTCTTTTCTCCTTTTTTTTCTTTTTTGAGAAAAAAATTTAAGGAAAACAATAATTTTTTTTTAGGGAAAGGGAAATGACTAAAAGAAAGAACCTTTCTTTTTTTTTTTTTAAAACAAAAAAAAAAAATGGATGGGAGAAAAAAAAAGTTTTTTTTTTTCTTTTGAAGCAAAAGAAATGAAATGCTTCTCTTATTATTAAAATGCAAACTTTAAAAATATTTTTTTGTTTCCTTTTAAAATATTGTTGAAAATGCAAATTTTAGACAAGAATGAGACAATTGAAATTTGATTTAGGAATATCATAAAAGATCTTTGTTTTTTTTTTTAAATCAAATAAATAGATTTTTTTAATCATTTGAAGTTTTTTTTTTTTTATTGGAGCTGTAATATGTAAATAGACATATTTTTTTTATTATTACTCTTAGGAAAGGACGTTGTAAAAATAAATTTTTTCTCATGTGTCATAATTTCATGAATTTTTTATAATAGAGATTAGTATGACTCTAACTAAGGTTGATTTTTTAAAATTTTCTACACGCAAGGTTTGAGTTTAAAAAAAGCTATAAGGTATCTAAATTCTTTTTCACAATGTTCACACCGAACTAGTAAAGCATCACAATATCTATCTTCTACATGCTGCATGCAAAACAGATTTAAGTTCGAGTGAAATATTTCTCTAGCCATTATAAGGGTTGTCATTTCAAAAAGTCATCAGTGCTTTATCCTCTTAGGAATGTAGCTACATAGAATTTAGTAGGGTTAATTGATCCCACTTAACATTAAAAGTATTGTGTTTTTTTTTTAAATAATATATTGTATTTATATATGAAGAGCAATAATATTTTTTTATATGAAGAGTAGTAATATTTTTTTTATAGTTTTATATTGATCCCATTAAGAAATTCTAAAATTCTAAAGTGTGTTGGAGATTGCACTAAAATTTTAACATTTTATCATAAGCTTTTGATGCAATTTTTCTTGAATATTGGCTTATTAGTTGAGAAATTTGACAAAAATATTCCTATATACATAAGTGTTCAATGTGTAAGTGAAAATATGAAAAATGAGGAAATTTGGAACTTTTGAACTCATTTTGGAGGAATTTTGGTGTAAAAAGCTATGAAAGGCTAAAATTTGTGTACTTGTGTTATAATGCCACTTATAATAGTTTTTTTCACCCTTTTTTTTATGATTTTCTTAGCTCATTTGAGCTTGATTGAACTTTATTTCAAGTTTTAATTCTTATATTTTTCATTTGAAAATGTCATTTTTAGTTTAGTACTTTGTCACCTTTGTAGTATTTTTGCAAGTTTTAGAAAGGTGACTAATGCACTAGTATACTTTGAAGCCTTCTTTGGACTTGTGAATTTTTCAAAATTTTCATGCATAAATTATCCACTAAATGGTCTATATTCGGTAGCAAACTGAAGGAGGAATTGGTTACAATTGGTGTCAATTATTGGAAGCAAAATTCAACCAAGGCTGTTTGATGTGCTTGCTAGGTGATCAAATGATTGTGGTGCCATTTTGGATAAGCAAAGAAGGATCAATTAGAGCTACTTAATTGGCAATTCAAATGCTTCTCATTGGATATAATGTTGACTTTTGGAGCTTACTAAATCAAGGGAAGAAAGCTTGAAGTAAAGTGAAGCAAGAAGAAGTAAATAAGGAAGCAAAAGATACAAGTTAGTTGAGATGGAAAAATCTAGAAGAGGTGGCAATTGAACCAAAAATTTTCTACATTTTCATTGATTGAACTATCTCACATTTTCCTATAAATAGGAGAGAGTGGCCAGTCATTAAGAAGACTTTAGTTGGTTTTACATTTTTTTTTCCTTGCATTTACTTTTTTTTCTCTTTAAACAATTTCTTCATTGTTCTTTTAGATGGTTGTTTGAGAGAAAATTGCATTTATTTTCTAGCAAAATTTACTTTTCTTCCCTTTATTTTCATGCACTTTAAGATTCTTTCAATTAAAGTTCAAAATCTTTTAAGTTTTCAAGTTAAATTTGATACATTTTCATATGTTTTTTAAATTTGTTTGGCAATCATGTTCTTGACCTAACTGTGATTTTTTTTATTGAATCTTAATCGAATCTTGTTTTTTTTTATCTAACATTTTTTGTGGATTTTTAATTCATTGTTCTACAAATCTGAAAAAAATTGCATTCAAATTTATTCCACACAATTTCAAAAAAATGTGCAAAATTTTGATTGAATCCAAAAGAAAAGCTGGAGTATGAATGAGTGACAATACTTTAAATGACTTATGTTCTAGTTGGGCATTTGATTTGTAATTTCTTTACTTTACACTCTTTAATTCATTAATTTACTTGATTAATTTCATTTGATTGCATTTAAATTCATGTGTTTTACACTTAGTTTGGATAATTTTTCTTGCAACATCTTTATTTTTGTTGTTTTTGCATTTGGTTTGAGTTTGAGTTTAATAAGCTGAGTTTTTTTGTTGATTCATGCAATTTCTTTGTTGATCTAGGTAAAAAACTTATAGATCTATATTGCTTTAGTTTAGTTTGAGTTCATTCCATCTAAAAAGTTATAGATATAAGTTTTCATCCATGATTAATTGTTAGTTTCCAAATTTAAGTTCTTGCTTTTGGTTTTGAATTTTTAGTTGATTTTTAGGTTTTTGGTACTTCAATTCTTTTTCAATCTTCTTTTGATTTTCAATTCCTTTTTTTTTTTTTTTGCAATTTCCAATTCAATTAATTCAATTTGCATTAGCTTAGTTCTACATTCTTTGTTAAACATTCAATTTCTAGCTTTTGCATCTCAGTTGCGATTTTACTTATTCTTCATAAATCGTGTTTTTGTTACTTCAATTGCAATTTACATTTCAAATTCTAAGAATTCTCTAGAAATTTCTTTTATTGGAAGTTAGAAGTTTGTTAAGTTAGTTAGTTTTCAGTTATAGTTAGTTATTTTGGTTTATGCTTTTAATCTACTATTTTACTTGTTAGTTAAACATGTTGATTTCATTACAATTCAATTTAGCTACTGTTTTTGTGCATTTATCTAGTTTGCTTCTTTTACATGTTGCTAGTTTACTCTTTGCAAGAATTATGTTTGGTTCATTATTTTCTTCACTTGTTCTAGTTAGCTTAGTTTTGTACCAACCTTTCAATTGAGTCAATTTTAGAGTGAGTATAGGGATAATAGGTACTTAAGCTAAGAACTTTTTAGCTAATCCTTGTGGAAAAAAAGATGTTGACTTTTGGTTATTATTATTACTTAAATGACCTATACACTTGTAGAAATAGTCTCAATAAAGATTTTGACGCCATTGTCGAGGATTAAGCGTTAAGAGTCTTAGACTAATATCGTGTTTCACCATGCTTTTCTATAGATTGGTTCACCTTTAGTTTACATATGCTAAGCTAGTTATTAACTTGCCTCGGTTTTGTTTTCTTAGGTTGTACATATGCTAACTTTTTTTGTTGTCTCATTTCATTAGTTATCCATACTTAAAATAGCTATTCAGTTTATCTAGCCTTAATATCTACTTAGTTATGTAGCCTTAAAATATTTTAGGCTAGAGAACATACATTTTTCTTTACTTTACATAGTTTAGTATAAATAGGTTAATGTAGATAGTCTTAGTATACATAGTTATTATGTTCTTAGTTAGGTTTTATTTATTTTTTCATATGGAAGTCCAATCTTTATAAGGTAACCAAGCATCATGTGGACCATGCTAGACCCTATTCTTCCAATGACTACTTGGTATAATGGCTATGTGATGAAAACAAAGCCAAAAGAGAGTTGGCCCTTAAAACTTTATCGAAAAAATTATTTTTTAAAAAATCAAATAAAGGCCTTTAAAGCTAAAAATGATCCCAAACCTAACCTAGTCCATAACTTTCCAAGTTAATATGATAATGGTCAAGTGCATTATAGAAATTACCATAATGATAGGTCTATCCATGACCAATAATTTCAATCTTACTTAAACACCTACACTACTTAAGGTTTGGAGGGTCATCCTAAGAACATGTGGGATACTAATTCAAGGCATTCTTATAGTTCACCATCTAAGTACACTCTAACTTATCTTACCAAATTTTCATTTTCACAATACCTTCCACCACCTCAATAATCGCCACCATCACTATAAGTTCATCAAGTGCCACACTATGTGCATTCACAACAACATTTTTCTCCATCACAACACCATTTATCTTTACATCACTTTCCATCAACATCATATTCACCACCACTTTCTCT